TCTTGCCCAAGAACACAACACAATGTCCCCGGCCAGGGCTCGAACCCAGACCGCTCGATCCGGAGACGAGCGCACTAACCATGAGGCTACCGCACCTCCCACAATTTTTTCCACGGAGGACTCCCATAAAAAAGGGTGGGTGTGCTTGTCGGAAATATAATTATGAAAACAACCCCTAAGAGGTACCAAGATCCCACTTTGTGGGTGTGGCTTGAAATTTTTTTCACCCCTAAGACATACTAATTCTAAAACAGTACATTATCTCCTGTCATATTTTCTATAGCTTAATACCCTAAAAGGTACTGCAAAAGCTCCCACTGTGAACCTTTTGAGGGTAACCACCCTAAGAGGTACCAAAACCTGTCCTTTAACCCCTAAAATGTACAATGAGCACACCTGCCCGTTTTATATGGGAGTCACTCTCTCCCAGGGTCACTGTTGCCAAAGACATCAGTTTTAAAAAATCTCTGACAAAAATGAAATTTCTCTGACCAAATAGATACAAAAGTTCAGATACTGAGTCAGGCTTTCACCACACCCTGATACTCGAGCATATAAAGTCAAGTACACTCCACCTCCCTCCGCCAAGGCTGTTCTCCAACATGTGAGGTTATCTATTCTTGACATATTGTATTTGTTCAAAATCAGAAGCAGTTTTAAATAGCTTTCTTAGAAAGACAAGCAGCTTGAGCAGATAACGCAGATTTTATTTTTTTTATAGATAGGGTCCAGGAATAAAAGGCCTGCAAGCCCACTCATGACTAGGGTTGGATCCAAAAAATTCAGATAGAGGGGCAGAAGAAATAGGCCCTTTGCAGCTAAGCCATCACGTGACCTATTTTTCATAAAATTATGGGCTATAACTTAACGAATGCTAGAATTGGAAAAAGTATGTCGAAAATATCAAAATGGCCAAGTTTGAGGCCCCCATCATTAAAGAAGGAGATTTTATGACAGTCCGAATTTTTAAAAGAATAAGAAGATTTGNTTCCAGGGACCTCAAACTTGGTCATTTTGGTATTTTCGATGTGCTCTTTCCATTTCTGGCATTCTTTAAGTTATAGCCCATAATATAACAATTTTCTAGGAAAAATTTGGTCACGTGACCTCAGCTGCAAAGGGCCTATTGCGGCAGAGTGCAGGGCAGCCCCCTAAACCTAATGAAAAATTCGCTCTTTAAGACTGTTGGTCTATTTTTTCAATAATACAACAAAATACGGGCCCAGCCCCCTTGTACCTCACCTAAATCTGCCCCTGATGATGTCTGAGTAACCAAAGGTGAGTTAGGCATGAAAAAAATGACTTGACTTCAAAAAGTGGTGTAATGACCATGTGGTAAACATGCAAGACACAATGAACTCAACATATTTAGTATTTTTTCATGGTCTGGTCCCATTGCGACCACCTCTCGTAAGTGACTACCTCTCCTCAGCCACCAGTTTTCCAAAATACAACTATATCTGGAAACTTTTGTAAAGGACCACCTCTCATAAGTGACCGCAACCACTTTAAGAGCTTAAAGTTTGAACTTTACCTCCCATAAGCGACCATTTAACAGATAATAGAGCCGAAATGGGATAATAAGGTGTTGTGACATTATCATATTCCTGAGTTGTACTAGCCTGCGAATACAGCCGCCTCTCATTAGCTCCCATTACCAAGTGCATTTTGCACATAGTAGCAAGAGCAAATGAGAGGCGGCTGTATTCGCAGGCTAACTTTTCACATAAATGAAACATTTAAAACATGGGGTACCATATGCTAATGAGGCAGAATTTTGACCCAATATTGTCTAAGCTCTCGTAAGTGGCCAACTAGGCTTGAGATTTTAGGTGGTCACCTGCAGTAAGTTCAACTGTTGGCATCTTACATTGAATGATTTGTAGTCAGTCATTTGAAGTTTGGCACAACTTTTGCATCAAAAAGTAAAATGCAGTTGATATTGTTTTTGTAAAGTTGCTCTCAAAGTGATTTGATCAAGAAGCACAGACAAGTGCTAAAACAATGAGCTCCTCTGTTTAGGGAGGGAGCTTGTGATTTGAGTGTCTTCCCTACAAGTTAAGAATATTGTCACAACTCACTAAAACAATATCATGTTATACCTTGGGCATGAAATTCACACTATTGGTCAGACTGCCAAACTTCAAAGGATTTGACAATGAATTCCCAGGGAGGTAGTACTCCCAGAAAAATTGGGTGGGGGTGTGTGGCTTACTTCCCAAAACCCTTACCCTATTTATGACCAAAATCTGTGATTTTCCCTACCCTATTTAAGACCCGACCAAAAATTTGATACCCTATTTATGACCCTTACAGTTGGCACAGTTGCCCTAGACACAATTTATAAAGGGCTTTTGTCAATGATCTTGTCGATAATGATGAAAAAGTAGCTTCTTCCAAAAACATTCCCAATTCAAGACTAGAGACTGTGCAAAACTATACCCTATTTATCACCAAAATGGCCAAAATCAGTTCCCCATTTGTGACCAAAACGACTGAAAAACCATACCTTTTGGGGCCGCACATACCTGTATAGTACATATTTATAAGGGATTATCCCCCTCCCCCCCCAAATCAATCATGCAATGTTCTCTTGTGAACCAAGAGTAAGTAGA